TTTGTTATTGCTTAGTTACTAGTTGATGGCTCTTAGGCCTTCTGCATTAATCGCAGACAAATGGGAACTTGAGCCCATGCGTGATCCGCAACCTCTGTCAAGGCGCAAGGATGTCCCTTTTTGTAGGATGCGAGCTGTCTGTGGTCTCTGGCAGTGTAGAACGTAGTATAATATTATCAGTAAGATGTGCGAACTGCATGATGCGAATGTGTACATGAGCTCGTGCATGCTGTCTGTGGTATCTGGCAGTGTAGAATGGAGTATAATATTATATAATCAGTGGGATGTGTGCACTGCAGGATGCGAATATGTGTATTCATTGCTGCCATTGCCGCTTGTTGGATATAGCATTTGGCTTCATGAACCATTGAGTGTGGGATGTGGGGAGGTGCAGGGTATGTCTTGTAAGTAATTTGGTATGCGAGGTGAAAGTGTAGACAACAGAGTAAAGGAAAGGGGCAACGGAAGAAAAGAGCGAACGAGTGGTGAAGGAAAACCCTGAATTGCTGGGGCAGGTTTGGAGACGATGGCAAGGTAATAGAGATCAGCGAGCAGCAAAGAAGATGAAAACCGTGGAAGCGATTGAGGTATACTGAGAAGGAAGCAAACTGGAATGCTTGTGCTGAGGTGCATGGGCAGGTAGGTAGCCGCGGCTCATCAGGGATTACCGAAGAGGTTGAGCAGAAAGTTTGTGAAGACGAAATGTATTCAAAATGTCAATCAAAAGGCTATTGCGGTGCGACGTAGCTGATTGGAACATGTTTGGAAGTAGTGTGATGTATAGGTATGATCTGCTTGGTGTCATGCCTGTCTTCCATCCAAAGGACTGGCAGGCCACTTGCAGCTGATGAATAAAAGGCTGTTTTCTGTTGGCCTGTGCAGATTCTGATGCATGGTGAGGGGTTCTTGGTTTCTTTTCTGTCATTGTCTAGTTACGAGAAAAGGAGGCGAGACAAGTGCCGGACAGAAAGAATGTGGAGCCCTGCTGTTTTCTCTGAAGTGATGGATTGCCAATTTTCTAGTTCACTTTTTCATACAAGTGGAAGGTGCACAGGGTCCGCTTACATGGCTCTTTATTGGTTTTGCCTGACAGAGGATGGGGCTTGAGCGATGTATGCAGCATATTGATAGGTTTCCCTGTTTTTCTCCATGCGGATTGGACAACTTGGCGTACTTTCATGAGAACCATAGCAAACGACTGTTATTCAATTACAGTAACCATATCTTTAGAAGTCTGTTATGTCTTGTTGCTATGTGCATATGTCGTGACCCTGGGCTTTGGTGGATACTGCAGATCCTGGAGGAGACAATTGGGCCTGTGCCGGACCCGGAATCGTTTCAGAAGGAAGCAGAGTGGATTTATGACCGTGCATTTGGCAGTTCGTCTGGTTCCAGCTCTCCCCTGTTCGCCAAGATTAATGCAGCTAGTAAAGCTGAAATTGTGCAGCAGATTGTGGATGTGCTGACACAACTTCACGAAGAGAAGTTTGAGGTATGTTTGTGGAAGATCTTTACCTTAAATCTTATAGTGGTCTGGAAGGGGGGGGGGCTACTAGTGTATGTATACTGAGCAACAACAGGCTCGAGCGGGCTAGTGGCCAACATAACAATTAGAATGTCGTGAGACAGTTCGGTTCCTATCTACCGTTGGTGATTTGAAGAGAACTGAGAGAAGCCATCCCTAGTACGAGAGGACTGGGATGGGTCAACCTATGATGGACCGGTTGTCATGCCAGTGGCATTGCCGGGTAGCTACGTTGGTATGGGAGAACCGCTGAAAGCATATAAGCGGGAAACCCCTCTTGAAAAAAGTTATCATACAAAGTGAAAGACCTGACTGCAAAAAAAAAAATAAAGCTGCAGCTTCGGCCCTGTGCCATCAGATCATGCCCTTGATGGCGAGGGCCTCAGGTTGAGGCAAACTGTCATGCTCTTGCTGCTGTCCCAAGGTCGAGCAACTGCGTGCCTGGCGAACAATGTGTTTGACAACATAGGCTTGCGGTGGTGGTTTCATCAAGGTGAAGTCTGCAGTAGTTCTGTTGTAGGGGCTGTGCGGCTTTGCATGTGTCATACATAAGCTGCATTTGCAGGTGCCAAACATTGAATGTGGACAGTTGTCCCGTGCAGAAGTTGGTCTGTAGCTGCTGTGCATTTATCCCATGTGTACAGTGAGCTCATTATGAATGTGGCAGTCTGGTAACATCCTGGACGAGGCCTACGTTAACTGCAAAAAAAGAAGAACGGAAGGTGCAGCGGCTGCACTTTGCCATCACATCATGGCCTTGATGGCAAACGCCTCTTGGGAAACAACTGTCATGGTCTTGCAGCCTGTGCAAGGTTGAGAAATAGTGCAAGGTTGAGAAATAGTGCAAGGTTGAGAAATAGTGTGGTTGGTGAACATTGTGTTTGATTGCGCAAAACGGCGGTTTCAGCAAGGTGAAGTCTGCAGTAGTTTTGCATGTGTAGCGACTGTGCGACCTCGCATGCATTGTAAGCTGCAGGTGCAAGTGCTGAATGTTGGATCTTGGCAGTTGTCCAGTGCAAAAGTTCTATAGCTGCTGTGCATGGTGAGCGGCATATTCATGTGGAGGATATAGTGTGTGAGCAGTTAGTGAAGTGCTCTTGCCACTCTCAGGTCATCTGTGCAGGTCCGCAGCCTCAAGTGATGAAAGGCAGTGGTAAAGGGCTTGCGGAATCGTGTTGTTGTCCTAAACAGGCATGCTATTTGAGGAGCTTTTTGTTCAGGCATGATTTCAATCCTGGAGCTTTCTGTTCAGGCATGATTTCAACCAACCTGTACTTTATAGGAATGCGTTATAAAGGATGAAGCGATATTTGGGTTTGCGAGAGTGAATGCTCTCGATTACTGCAAATTTCTTCTGTTTCAAGCTTTTAGACAACTTGAAGAATGTGTACCAAGCTTTCGTACATAATTTTGATAAACCTGTTCTTCATATAAAGGGCCTGAAGGAGCTTGAACCAATATTTGAGAGCGCATGCTAGAGATTGCTGCCACTCTGTCCTCTGTCAGGCTTGACCTGGGCATGCAGGTCTTGTGCAATTCGTTGAGTCAATAGGGGAATTGTGAATTGTTTATTGTGTTTGTTGATCGGTCTCCTCAGCCTGGCCGTGGATCTATGTAGAAGATAACAGTATTTTGCGAGTGATGATGATGAATTTACACTAGAAGGATGAGGGAGGGAGTGACGATGGGGTCGCCAAGCAGATGCTACTTAACCCCCTAGTCCATTTGAGCCTCTTCGTCCTTAGAGGGATTGCCACTGTGTGCCAAAAAGGAAGAGCTGTTGCGGGTGCATAATGTTTTCTTTTTACATGTCACAGCCAGCCATTTTGGTCCAGTAGACCAAGTCGCTGTTAACATGGTGGTCTAACTGCTGCGCTAGAGCAAAATTACCGGAAAAGGGACTGGTTGTTTAACAAACAGTCCAGAAAAGAGCCTGTTTTCTTCGCCTTGTTTGTTGACTGGTACTAGGTATTTTGCCAGGGGGGGTTTCCGAGCGCTGGGGCACCCAGTTTGTGCCCGGATACATGCCCATGTGCCTGGCAAGGCCTGGCTCCCGGGCATGGTTCCGGGCAGCCCAAGGCAAAAAGAACAAAAATAAAATTCCGGAAAAAAATTGTGTTGCGTACAATTCCAATGCAAACGACTTTTGGCTGAGGGTCACATCAAGAGAACATGATAGAATCAGACGAAGGCAGCCCCCTTTAAAGCCCTTCAGAAGAAATTTTGCCCCGTTAACCCCCCCGTTTCTTCCCTTGATAGCCAACACTCAAAGAAAAGAAAAGAGCCTGGTTTTGGGCTACTCTGTGCAAGGGCAGAAGGCCCCCACCGCCAAAAGAAATAAAAAAAAAGTTGACCCTTCTTATTCCCACACCCGGGTACCCCGGGTGTCAGACCCCCCTGGGTGACGCGGCTGGGTGCCCGGTCAGGCGTGGCAATCTTCCTCGGCATTTTGTCGTTATTTTTCCGTTATTGTTGAATTCTCATAATCTTATTCGGTACCTGGCCCCGATTGCTGAATTCTCATTTAAACCACCGGTACCTTCACGTTCTGAGGCCGTTAACGTGGTGGCTGAATCGGCCTGCCGGACAGTTCTATATGCATTTTAGTCAGAGGGGCCCTAAGACTGTGGTAGGTAGTCGTGGTTTAAAACACCACTTCACCCGAGCATAAGGTTCTCGAGCCTCTGACTGGGCCTTTTCGTAGTGGCCCTCCGAGTTCACTACGGGCCCAGGCGATAATCTAAAATCTCTTATCGCGCATAAGCCCTACTTGGCTTCGGGTGAACTGAAGAATACAGCTGAACATGTTGAAAAAACGTAGGCTGTGCAGTGTTCACATAAATAATGAAGCTATGTCTTTCTTTCTTTTTTTGTTTAAGATCTTGTGGGTGTATAGGTGCGTTTGCACATGGCAGATAAGAAACAGAAGGAAACGAAGAGCTCTGAATGTGAGAGGGTGGCCTGAGGTTGTGCTTGACGATGGGTATGGGATAAGTTGCTGAGGGCGAAGTTCCTTGCTTCTTTGAGATGGTGTATTTGTAATTTTGTACACAACCTGTTGGTGAAGTGCATATGACGTGAGTGTAAACTTGCTTCCAGCTACAGGGGACGAGGCTTGCAAAAGGTTTGCTGTACAGTCGCTATGTGAACCCCTCTGACAATGGACCTTCTTCTTGTCGTTGTCCAGGTTCCCTTCATAGGACTGCACCGTCAGGAGTTGTGCTTGGGCCTACTTCCTGACGAAGAGCTGGAAGATGATGATGAACGAGAGAACAAAGGGGGAAGACTGAAAAAGTATGAGGTGGGTTGCATCCCCTGCTATCCTATGCTTGTGATCCTGGTTCACCTGCTATGTATGGCCATCTCAGGATGTTGTTGGTCCGTTTGTCCTCTGACAAGGGCGACGGCCTTGCTATGCCACTTCAGAACTGACTGCACCCAGGTAATTTCAGAGTTATTTCTGCTCATCTGATTCCATCGGAGTTCAAACTCAGGTCCATGTTTCAACTTTCAACAGTTCATGGGTATACTGACTGAGGGCCTACGCACTGTAGAGCGGTAAATTTTGCGTTGGTGATTTTGCAGTTATAGGGCACCGCCTGGTCGCACAGCGCTCATGTGTCTAGGACAAAACAGAAATACAGGACTGGGACCAGTCATCGAAATGCGAATTCACGTGCCATGCGGCAACGGGGCACAAAATTTAATCTTGAATGTGGAAAGAAACCACAGAAAAAATATATATTCTGTGGACATCTCCAGAGGTGCCCGCAAATACGTACGTGTACAGGCGGCTTCCCAGGCCGCTGACATATACGTATCAGATATGTGACAAATACGGCGAACTTGTGACCCTAAAAGTTGCACAAATTTTGTCATTTTGTGGTTTTACGTGGTAGTGCGAGTATGCCCTGAGCTAGGCCATTTGGTAGGATATTGTTGTTCTAGCTACCGGTGTTCTGACACAACTACAGTAAAAGTTGGCAGCATATTGTTGGTACTAACTTTGATTACGTACCTGTGTTTTGACACACACATTAAGAGTTGCAAGAATGTTGTTGGCATCCACCACAGAGATACAGAGCTTTGGCTCTGTACCTGTTTTCCGACACAATGGAAACAAAAGCAAGGGGCTATTATGAAATCTGGACTGGAGTGTTTGGAATATCCACCACTCCGTCTGTTACATGAAGAGAGAGGCATTCAGATGTTGCAGCTGGCCGTGTCTATAATGTGCTTGCTCTCTCGAAAGGAACCACAGGAAAACAATGTGAAATAGAAGCCTGTCTTCCTTCCCCCTTCCCCCTGTTCCTTTCTGTAGAAAAGCGTGTATCCGGCCCCACATACCCCAAGAAAAGGAGAACGCAAAGTCGAAGCTAAGAGAACGCAGAAGATGAGAATATAGAAGCAAAGGAAAACGTACAGAGACAGGAAATTCAAATGGCCACTGACAAGAATAAAAGTGCTGGGGTGCCAGAGCAGAGAGAAAAGTAGAAGACTGGAGTAGGAGGGAGGTGCGTTATTAAGGGAAATATGAAGATGCTGGTTGAACAAGAGGGAGGAGGGTGGGAAAGAAAGTGAGGGTGTGGAGCAGGGAATGAGGTTGGAGATGATGAGAAATTGGGAAGAACAAGAAACGGAAGGAGAGGAGGAATAGCACTACTACCGGTAGTAGGAGGGACTGAAGGACGTGGAGAGGTCGAGAAGGAGGCAACCCCGCCTTTGTTTAGCTTGTAGACGCTTCAGCTGTTGTGAAGCTGTATTGCTTTAAAGACTGCGATAGAAGTTCAGCTGCGGTGAAGGGGTGTTGCTCTAAAGACTGCGATCTTTTCTGAGAATCTCAGTGTAATGAGCCCGAGCTTCCTAAGCGATAGGAGAGTGGACAGAGGAGGGTTCGTGCAAGAGTAGGACGTGCATAGAGAGAGAATAGTATAGTATTAAAAACCGTAGCAGCGCTGCTGCATTGTGGTTGTATTGACGAGGGGAGGTGAGAAGTTGTGTTTTCTTCATCAAGAGACTTCAGTGCCAGCGTGTTCTCGTTTGGTGTGCTCTCGGCTGTGTAATTCTGCTTTTGGTTTTGCTCATATATGCTTGTACTGGTTCTACATCTCGGAAAATTGTGTTCCCATCAGGGTTGCATAACTGCCGAGCGCCTACCTCGACCGCTGACCGTTTTGCAGCCTACCGGTAGGGTTGACCGATCGGTGGTCTCCCGCCCAGTCAGTAAACAGCCATCCACTGATTTAAAAATAAAATCTTACGATGGGGCTGTACTGTGCTTGCTGAGTACAGCCCAAATCTGCTGAGAAACTTTTTTTTTTTTGGGGGGGGGGTGTTATGGGGGGTATAGGTGTGGTTATACATGGCGCCAAGGTACATCCATACTTGTAAGTTAATATTGCCAGCCTTCACTTCCTCCAGACCCCATGACAACCTTTCTGTCCTGGTCTTCGTCAACTCGACCGGTGGTAGAGAGATGCCAAGGGCCTTGCCGCTCCACTCACCAAATGGCGAAAAGACACTAACCATGGCAGGTGCGCACCTCTCCAGGTTCAAGCAGATTTATTCTCCAGGTTACAAATTTGGCGAGTCAGTAGGGCTACCCTGGGTACCTCCCACTCTTTACCAGTGCACAAGCCGTACCTGAACGTTCCTTCCTTTGGCGGTGTCATCATCTCAGTCTGCAATCCACTTCCAGGGTCTGAATCTAACCAGATATCTACCTGCACTCAGACCGTGGAGCATCAGCAGCTCCCGAAAGCCACCAGACTTTTCCTAAGCCTACCAGATCTTCCTGGGCCTACCTGGGTTGCTGGAAAATCCTATGATGTCCCTGACAAATTTTAGTTATCCCAGCCCTCCAGAATTTCTGTACACACATGCAAGCACACACATAAATACACCCGTGCCAGCACGCGGGCATACTGATCTCGTAAGCAGGTTACACAGACACAGAGAACACAACAGAACGGACTCGGAAATCTCTTCAAACAGACCAACAATAGCAACGTTTCTGATAAAATGCCTTCTTCTTGGTTTTTGATTGTGCATGTCATTGCACCTCCAACAACATCACATATCGATGTGAGTTATGAGTTGCACATTTTAACCGCGAAACACAAGGTGAGATGGAAATCGAAGCCACACGGATATGGAACTTGAATTATTTTGTAAAATCACATTTCCAAGCCCAATTCTCTTATGGGCACCGCCTGACTCATATCCTCACCACGTATGTACACTGGCCGCCAGTGGAAATAACCAGAACATGAACTCTCACTTCGACCCTCAGGCCTCTCTGTTTGTCTCTGTGAATGTCGTCTCTCTCCTAGCTAGGGTACATCCACAGCAATGGCACGGAGCGTCTGTTGAGTACTATTACGTGCTCTCTACCCTCAACTAGTCTCACTCATCGCTTGGTCACATTTTTAGCATAGCAGCAGTGTTGCTCACACCGATGGTGGGTACCCCTTGACTGGTCGGCGCCTACCTGTCAGGGGTCTTCGGCACCTCGCCAAAAAAAAAAATAAAAAAAAATTGTTTTTTTTCTGGCTCCACA